GTGTCAGCACGACCTGACAATTTGTTGTTACTGGAAAGCGATGCACTTGTTCCTAATAGCTTCTTGTTACTACTAGTAAGGCACTTGTTACTAGAAGCATCACCATATGAATCATATCAGCGTGTGTACACGTCCGCGGTACAGAATTTTATATGAATAACAGAAAATCAATACACACCACATCAACATGACACCATATCGGTGTGGGAACACCTTAGCGTGTCAGAATAATAACACATTAGCAGGTAAGTGCAAACCGCAGAGTAGCCTGACGGCATGTCAATATACCAGCGTGACAACAGGTCATCAGCATGACATGTCAGCGTGAGGCCGCGGCAACATAATCATAGTGAAGCTACTAGAAACAAAGGCAGCTACTAAGTTACTAGGAGCAAGGAGCTACTAGTAGCTCCAGGCCTTACTACTAACAACAAGAAGCTACTAGGAACAAAGGGCATCGCATCTCATCATATCTGCAAAGTGCTCCGGAGCTTGTGGGAAGCTGCTCCCGAGCTTGCTCCGGAACTGGTTTTCGGAACTTGCTCCGGGACCTGGTCCGATTTGGCACGCGGAGTAGTAACAAGTGCCACGCTAGTAGTAACAAGTGCCTTACTAGTAGTAACAAGAAGCTACTAGTAACAAGTGCATCGCTACGCTTCGCTTTGGGGATTTCTTTTTCAATTCGCTTGTCCAAACTTGGACCTCGGACCTTTGAGCAATCACCTGAAGGGATAAAGTTCCAACTTGTCCGCAAATATGCGGCATACATAACTTTCAGGGAAAGCGCGCATGGCTTGAAACCATCCAAGTATGTGAACATGTCTTGAAGCCTCATGACAGGTGGTGGAGCGACCAGCGCTGGAGGTGCAAACATGATCTTGCAGACTTGATCTAGTAGCGTGGCACTTGTTACTAAGAATTGATGGCCTATTTTGTTGAAGAAAGAAGGAAGCGAGTACTTGGGCAACTCCTTGACTCGCTTGGACAATGATTGCCATGAGAAGCATTCTTTACATGAAAGAGCGCGACTAAAAGGTACCGTGCACCGACGAGCAGAGTGAATAACTTGCGTTATGGTGGGGGCCTTTTTTTGTGGCCACACAGTCATGGTGTGTGTGTGTGTGTTCTGCTGTTTCTTCATTTTATGTTCCTTTGGGCTTGAGGAAGACGCATCGAATGTTTGTGCATATCCATCTTCATGAAACCTTTCAAAATGGTCTCACACTCAAAAGATGGTGCTTTCAGATGCCAGATGCCATATCATCAGACTCCTTGAGAGCTTGCGAAGTGCACGCGACTGCAGCATGGTGGGTGCTTTTTCTCGCTTGCGCCTTGTGCACATACTGGTGGTAATTCACGCGGAGCCCTGCTCCAAAATGCTTTTTGATGACTGTTGTTTTTCCTCCACAAGTTGTTTCTCGTAAGCCACTCAAATGTTTGCAACTGACACTGCGTGCTCGATCGTGAACATTGTTCCCACAAGGAATGCATTTGTACAGAGTGCTGATGACGTCGCATGCTGTCGTAACACCTCTTCAACGCGCTTGAGCAACATGTTTCAAGACAACCTGCTGATAAGGCTTGAATCTGACAGCCAGGCAGCCCCGTCGCCAATGTACATGGCGTGTTTTTCAGGCCTTACGTCCCGCCTTTGTAAAGCTGAGTGCCGGTCACCTTTGTTGACTCCAGGCATGAGTGTGGAGTGAATCTTTGAGCTTAGCTACTAGTAGCTAGAAAAGCTACTAGGTGGAGGCCATTCCTATTAGGTTCCTTTTGCTAGTAACAAGAAGTTACTAGTAGCGGGAAGACGCTGGTAGGTGGAGGCCATCGCAAGTAGGGGTGAGTTCTTTTCTCTTCGCTATTAGGTGCCCAGCTCACTGCTCTTCTTGCCTCCTAGCTCACTGCATTTTCGCTTCATCCTTGTTGTCTTTCATCCCAACCACTGGCGTGTGCCAGCCACGGTGTTTGGCTGACTTCTGGCAGTCATCCTTTGATATAGTGATGTGCTTAGCCAACAAAGTGGGTCTTGATGGTGCATAAGTTTCGCAAGTATGCACTACAACCAGCAAATGACGGCCAGCCAAAAATTGAACCAACATGATGTGGATGCTACCCAAATCTAGAAGCGGATCGTCGCTAAGCGGAAGACCGCGCACCTGCAAACCACGCATAGATCTCACAGCTGGATCTGGAAGCCGGAGAAGATGGCAGGGCCACAAGGGCGTGTGAAAGCTCGAGACAGGGTGGAGCGACGTGGCAATTGCAAGCTGATGAGGATGCGAAGTTGTTCGGGCAGAGGAAGATGTTCTTCAATGCAAAAGTCAGTGAAATACACTAGAAACAAGAAGCTACTAGTAACAGGTGCATCGCTACTAGTAACAAGTGCCTTACTAGGAGTAAAAGAAGCTACTAGGGGCTCCTGGCCGTACTACTAGGAGCAAGGACGCTACTAGGAACAAAGGGCATCGCTACTAGGAGCAAAGACCGCCCAGGAGGGCTCGACCAGCAAAGTCTTCCATTAAAGCTGCTCACACACCTTGTGGTACCCTGTTTCTCACGAGAAGAGCCATGAGGCCTTCAACCTAAAAGCAAAATAATAGCAAAAGGAACCTACAAGCGATGGCCTGCACCCTACTTGCGATGGCCTCCAACCTAATAGCGTCCTTACTACTAGTAGCTTCTTGTTTCTAGTAGTAAGGCCAGGAGCGCCCCTAGTAGGGTCCTTGCTCCGCAATGTTTGGAAAGGGGATGATCTTGAAAAGACCTCACACTGTGCCTCATGCCTCTGCAGTGGAGAAGATGAAAGGTGAGCCTATGATTACCCCTTACAAAAGCCTCGAGGTCGTGTTGAAATCTTTAAACAATCTAATAACCTACTACAAACAAAAAATATCGCTACTAGGAGCAAGGACACTACCAGTAGCTCCTGGCCTTACTACTAGGAACAAGAAGCTACTCATGTCAAGAAACACCTAGGAACCAAATCACAAAGGCTCAGCGTTGACGAAAAACCTGAGGTACCTCGCGGTACTAGTAACAAGAAGCTTCCTTCGGAATCGTTTCACCTGTAGTAGCAAGAAGCTTTCTAGTATGTCTTTGAAGCTACTAGTAACAAGAAGCTACTAGGGGCTCCTGGCCTTACTACTAGGAGGAAGGACGCTACTAGGGGCTCCTGGCCTTGCTACCGGGAGCAAGGACGCTAATTACTAGGGGCTCCTGGCATCGCTACTAGTGACAAGCAGCTACTAGTAACACTAGTAGATTCCTTTTCTAGTAATTTTAACCTTAATTCTAATTAAATTATATTTATGTATTGTTTCTAATAGCTTCTTGTTACTACTATTAATTGAGGCACTTGTTACTAGTAGCGATGCACTTGTTTCTAATAGCTTCTTG